ACGCTGATATCAGCCTTGATAGTATTGCGAATACCCCTTTCTTTAGAACTCCGCCGTTTGCTATATCTCTCCCAAAGATCGATTTCGATCTTACTCAACATAAAAAGAGAGATACAAGCTCCACGGTGTTCAGGGAATCACGTGGCTAAGTGGGTAAGACGCTGGCTCGCTAGCCTGGAGGTCGGGTGTTCGATCCCTGCATTGACCGAGAAAGTTCTTTCAGATTTTCCGGCGTGGTTTCCACTTGTCAGTGATACGGGACGGAGGGCCTGACTAGGACAGCTGTCTAGTCGTTCGGATGGGACGAAAAACCGAGGTCCAATGTACATATTGGCGTGTACGTAAATGATCCCTTGGCAGATGGAATTCGATATAAGAGTAGGTCGTAGCGCCGCTGCAGGGGCAAAAATTCCCCCATAGCACACTGTATGGCGTATGCCCGTCTTCATTAGCCCAGTTTAGGAGCAGAAACGTTAAACCCCATTTCATTTCATTTCCCACGGTGTTAAAGTCTCTCTTTCGAGATATGGTCTAGATATGGTGATTATGCTCCAATATATACAGGTGGTTCGAAAGATGATGATCGGGTAGCTTCGGCTACCGTGACACCATCTGAGACCATTTCTGTCCGCCACCCATCTGCTACTTACATCTTTACGGCTGAACTACAGGCCATTCTTCATGCTTTAGAGTTTATTCAATCATCATCTAATTTAAAATATATAACTTTTACTGATTCTTTGTCCACATTACAAGCAATAAATAACAAACAGCTTGATCATCTGCTACTATCAGTCGAATGTATCAGCGAAGACAGTGTCCTTTGCTGGCTACCCAGTCATATGGATATCAAAGGGAATGATCCGGCAGACTCGGCTGCCAAGTCTGCTTTAGATCTTACCGTATTGGAAAAGAAAAAGAAGAGCCAGCAGCAACACAGAACAAAGCAATAAAAACATTTATAGAAGTAATATATGGCATTAAATTTTAATAAATTAAATTGATTCACATACCACCCAATACCACCTCAATATCACCACATACTACCCAATACTACAACAGAGTGATGCAAAATAGACATATCATTTGATTTTTTTTCAAAAATAGAGAGCTATATCGCGGGAAATGTACTTCAAATGCGATACCGATGTCTGGCTGTTCCATTCGCCTCCCTATACCATCCAAAACAAGCCAATAATACTACCAAATACTCATCAAATACTACCAAATACCACCATATATGATCAAATAACAATCTAATATTGTCAGATAACAGCACATTAGTATAATTAGATATTTTGCCAAAATGTTTACCCAGTTATCTCATTTTACAACCGATAAATAGATTTTAAATTGCTACTCAGATTAATCATCTTCTTTGACTTTGCAGTTGATTTCCAAGACGACAAACTTAAAATAAGAAAAACAAGTATGACGATATGCCATATTTTATCCCCAGAATGACCCATCTCTCTCTTACCGCTTGATAGTGACAAGGCGTGGAGTAATCTGTCAAACAAAGTGGGGTTTCTCTGGTCCACCGCTTGCATCTCACTGTTAAACGGGTGTCGCTGTTAAACAACCCTTCGCCAAAGCGAGATAATATTGAACTATAGATTAGTCCCGAAATTACCTAGATAGTGTCGATTGTTTCTATTTATTTTAAAATCAATGCTTTAACAAAACAAATGTTTTTATTATTAAGTTATTGAATATTTACTTACTGCACGATGTTTTATTTTAAAATCAACGAAATTGCACATGTTTCTTTCAAGTGTCGGCGCGACACTTCCAAGTTCATCAAAACTATCATTTGTGGCCTGTTACAGCTCTGTCGGTTTCTTTGATAATATAAACCAGAACTTGATTACCCAATCAACAATCTTAACACAGTTGATTAATTGTTAAGTCAGTTGGAATGTACATACGAGTAGAGCATTACACATTTGTAATAAACATATGCATTGTAATAAACAGGTGCATTTTCGTTAAATTTGAAATAAATTATCGTCCATTAACTAAATATGGAATAACTTAATCGTTGACACGAAAAAATCAATATAAACATATGCATTTTTTTGGTTAAAGCACATACTATTACGTTAATTTTAAAATAAATACACATATAGGCGATTTGATGTGAAATTTTGAAAGAAATAAAACATCCTCCATTAATTAAATATGGAATAACTTAATCGTTGACACGATAGCATCAATATAAACATGCATTTTTTTAGTTAAAGCACATACTATTATCGTTAATTTTTAAATAAATACAAATATATGCGATTTGCTGTGAAACACATTCGTTAATTTTAATAGTTGATATGAAAATATAAACATAGGCAATTTAAAATAGTTACAAACATATGCAATTTGGTGTATAAAACCGATTCGTTAATTTTAATATTTGATATGTGGATATATACCGTAGAATAATTAAAATTTGTTCAATAGTGACAATATTCGAAAAATCGGTAAAATTTTGACAAGAAGGCGCCTGGTTTGGAACCGGAATCATTTAAAAGACAAAGGGAATGCGTTAATAAGTTATTAAAAGACAGATATAGAAATAAATTCGTGTGCTTTCCTGACATATTATACCCAAATGATTTTCTACAGAACCGCGTGCACTTGTAGACAGTGTGTTCTCATACTAAGAAGTTGTCATGTTTGTTTTTACTTCCGGGATGAGATATCATTGACGTAATATTCAAAGTTCCAAAATCGGAAATTGTAGATCGAAAGTAAATGTTTCAAGGTACTTAAAGAAAAAATAATTAGTAAATTAGCTCAAATAGTCAAAAAGTTACAGCTATGTAGGTCAATTGTTTCACCAGTAAATTTCAGGTATTTAGGAATCGTTAAACGTTTTGAAAATATATTGATTCCAAAGTCACCACTTATTCTTGGAAAGGAGGCTAACCAGAAATGTATTGATTTCGGAAATAGGCGACGAATTCACGAAACGGCGGCCTATTACAATTATTTTCAATCCGTTAATGGAAAGTTTTCACTCGTAAACAACTTTGGCGGTACGAAAAACGTCAAAGTCGAATTTCGAAATTCTGAATTTTTCAAATACCAAATATTCGACCATGAGCCCGGCTATCCAGAAATGTATTAATTTCAGAAATAGGAGACAATTCAACAAACTACGGCCTATTGTGTTTATTCACAAGCCCGTTAATTTATTGTGTTTATTCACAAGCCCGTTAATTTAGATTTTTCACTATTTTTCATATTCAATTCAAAGTGGTGACCATCAGTTGACATAAATCAAAATTTTGCTCTAAACGTTTTTCAGAAATTCCTTCAAGGATTCAGAAAATCTAACCCCCATGTCTGTAAGTAAAATATCGCAAAAGCCTTAGGTATTTTTTACGTTTCAAGATGGCGGCACTTCCGGTTCGATCTGACCCATTTTTTATCGATATTTTTAAAAAGTTTAATCCTTAAGTTGAGATAAGTTAGAAAATTTCTAATGACATCTTTCAAGGTCGTATTAGTAAGTTCTACTTACATTCCAAACTTCATCAAAATCGTGCAAGTATTAAAGAAGTTGTCAAGTTAGTCTCATCTTCCGGGTCGAAATCAAAGCGACGAATTTTCGAAATTCGAGAATCGGAAATTGCAGGTGAACACGAATTTCGTCAAGGTACTCGAAGAAAAAGAATTAGTAAAATAGGTAAAAAAAAAACACAAAGTTACGACTGTGCATTGTCAGTTTTTTGGTTCGTAAAATTTGGTGATTTCGAATTCGTAAACGTTGTGAAAATATATTTAATCAATACTCACCAGTCATTTTTTATAATTTTTTTTTTGTAGGTCAAAGTTTCAGAAAGGTCCTATGGTTAGATTTTGAGGAATCCGATTTGCAGGAAACACACACACACACACACACACACCCACACACCCACACACAAATAATAATAACTAGATCTGCTACTGTACTATGCAGATATGAAAGCTTTCAATTTCATCGTCAAGTGTCATCGATTATATCAACCACGCCGGACCAGGATCAAGCTCCGGACCTCCCGGGAAATGAGCCAGCCCCTAACTGAGTCCTTGCCTTGATTACACTTGCATGGAAAGCAGGACTTTTAGCTGCCCATGTATATTGCAAAATCCCAACCCTCATCAATTATAAGACAATGAACTATATTTATTTTGATTTCTTTTCTCTTCAATATAATCCTGACTCTCATTACAGTATTATTTACTTTTGGCCATGTCCTTTTTTAGTGAAAAAACTGAACATTTATAGATGCTTTGTTTCGGTTTAATTATTTGTTAGAACTTTAGGGCAACGTGAAGTTGGCACGTTATTGGGGATTAGAATAACGAATAACGAGCCAGCACGCCAACAAACCAGTCAACATCCTACTCACTTAACAAACGGTCGTCTCATTGTTAGTCGGCCACCCCATGTTCACTTACCCCTACGGTCTGAGGTAGCGAGGAAATGGTAGGATGCAAGGTAGACCGGTCTGTTTTATTGCCTAATCCCAAATCCCAAATAACGAACTGGCATGTTATTGGGGATTCGGCAATAACGCAGGTGAATGCGGGAGAGGGCTGCCCCGTGCACGCCAACAAACGAGCCAACGCCCTACTTGCTTACCAAACGACCGTCAGCGAATCCCAAATAACAAGCCAGCATCGGGATTCGGGATTCGTCAATGTTACTTACGCCCCTGTTTCATTATATATATTTATATTATGTTCCTGAACATATATACAATGTCTGTCGTCTGTTTTGAACTGACAGTCTTACAATTATGCTTGGGAGACTAGGTTATTAAAATGTTGTGCTAATTCCTAATGTTGTTTGATTTTGATGTGTTTCGTCCTGTTGCTAATGCTGGTAAATCATAATCATAGCGGTAAACAATGATACATACATGCATATACGTCTCTCTTCTCAGATCGATTCCAGGTGTAATATTATATATACCCTAAATAATAAACACATAATATGTGAAACTACTACTTACCTTTTTATCATTTTTACGTATAGCATACAGTATTTTACATTCACAACCATATACAGCGTTTGGCTACTATACACGATCAATGAAATCATTTGTCAATTGAGGGCACTGCCATGACAACAATGTAAACCTTGATTTCCACCATTATATTGTCAGTAGATAATGTGTAAACTACAGCTAACATGTTGACATGTGTATTGTAATTACATATCAACGCTATATCGATATACATGTATACAATTCTTTTTCCCAGACATCAACATACATTATGCCAGAGCTAAATCTGCCTATTGAAGGTATTTCTTTAGGCCTTAAATGTTATCTAAATTATTAAATAGACATTAATTAACTGATCCAGACCATAAACAACTTTCGATGCCATCGCTAGCCTGCGATATTTAGAGGATTGGATTAAATTTTTTGAAAAATAATTCAACGTAAAAATAGATAATCGAGACTTTGATTTTTATCGTACCGACTTTAGTAATGATGACCGAGGCTAGCCTAAAATTCAAAAGCTAATATCTCGATTCAGAGTGGAGCAATTTGAAATAAATTTTCAGCGTATTCTATTTACGTTATCTATTTTGTAACTATTATAGCGAGAACTGTCAACTCTTTATCTAATCTCCCATAATGCTCCTTTAATAGAATTAGAATTAAGTTACCTAAAAGAAATCTCACATAAAAAGCAAACGCACATTATAAAGTATAGGAGCAAAGACTAAACGTTTTATTGTACAGCCACATATTAATACATACATGTGTTTAAACTGCATGTTTACATGAATAGTTCACGTGTTGATTTTTTGGGTGATTCAATTTACACAATAAAGGTATATCTTCTAAAGAATAACACAATTAACAAAATACACAAAATGATTTTTATGGACACTACTGAAGATTTTCAATAAACTACAAAAGCCTCTTTAATTTATGTGTAGATTAATCTTCTGGTACGTTGCTAATGGGGAGCACAGTGACTAAGTGAGTAAAACGTTGACTCGCTAACCCGGAGGTCCAGTATTCGATCCCTGCGTTTTTTACACAATATTTTATTCATAAACGAATGGGAGTGAGCAATAGGCTTGTGGCCTATTTCAGCTCTTTCCATAGATACAGAGGTATAATAAAGAGGAGTATGTTATTTACAAAATATGTTTAAAGAATGTACAAACATTAGATTTAAAGAACATATATACAGAGGTTATGTTGAATTGTATTTTGCAATGATTTTGAAATTAAAATCTGTGACTTTGTTTGATAAAAAGGTTAACAGGTTTAGTTAATTGTATATTTGATTCCATTGATAAGCTATTATTACGGCAGAATGCCGTTTCCTTTCTTATTTAGTCCAAGTCTGTAATTTGAACGTAACGTAATCCAAATCCGAGTTTCATACTCAACCGGTATTAGCGAACGCGTTTGATAGGGTGACCCATGCACTCTACAGAAAAACAGTCCACCGCTGATAGTTCGAGACTACCACTGAAGCGTGCACATTCGCCGTGCCGAGACCAACTTTCTGACAGTATGATACTATAAATAGCCATGGCACGTGCAATTCTCTACAAATCTATCAACTATTACAGCCGTAAAAAAATTATTGTTGACGATTTTGAATAGCAGTAAAATTAAGCTTCTTGGTTATTACAGCAGATTTAGAAATTACGTTCGTTTCATTTTTTAAATCGCTTTATCATTAACTGTACCGTTAAGAGCGGCATCTTTTGGTTTAGTACAAATAATATATCTGAAACACTCGGGTTAGACAGGAACATAATACTAGCAGTAGTTTCATTTTACTTTTACAAGCTTCTTAAAACGATTGTTGAGCTACCTAACGTGCTTATTTCTAAATTCAATTTCTTGTTCTAGCTTTCTGTTATGTTTCGTAAAAAAAGTAGTCTTGATTATCACGACCTGTCAATCAGACGTAGAATGGTCGATAGACTGGTTAAGCGAGACTAATTTCAAAACAAGGGCACGTAACCTTTTACTCAAAAGTGTCTGGATGTTATGGACGACGCTTGGAACCAGTTTTCAGTCTATTATTTATACATGATTAATGGTCATAGCTTATTAATTACAACATGATCGTTTATTTAGTGACTATAATTGTGTGGAACTGATTTGAGGCTTGACATATATATAAATATTGTGGCGTAATTGTCGAGATATATGGAGATATTTATTTATGGTGGGTCACCCTACCATTGATGTGCAGAAAAACGGCATGTGTTTTAGAGACCATGCATTTCTAACGCCTGTTACCCTCTCACAAGTTGTAAGTTTACTTGAGAATTATGTAAAAGTGTAAACAGATATCGCAGATCATTTTCATATTATTTTTATTCACTGTCAAGTCATAATTCTGTCAAATTTAACGATTTACTTTCGGGTGTTTTTTCCGCCACGCAAAACCGATATTGCTTGTGTGACGTGAGTGCAATTTCCTCGTCTGCTACATGTAAGTTTGTATTCCTTGATAGGTGATGCATTCCATATTATGAGTCGTTTTAGTGCCAGCATCACTCATCAATACTTATTATTTATTAGTTATGTAGAACGTATATGTTATAGAGTTTATTGTAAATACATGCATGTGTATTTTTATCTTTTCAGTGAAACCGTTCTTCGTTCTACGTTCTTCGTTCTTCGTTCTCTCTTTCATCACACAATCATCCAACGTTCATGTATTCAGTAACGTATATATACCTACCTTCATTGTCATCATAATGAACGAGTTTATCAAACATGGGTACAGGAATAAACGAATAACGATTGATTTTTCTACTTCCTTTTTTATTTTTAACGAACCGTCATTGCAGGAACAATAGCTATCATCTCCCTGTAAAATAATTCTTAAATTAATATTTTGATCATCTATAATTTTGCTAATAATTTCGAACATATGTAGTCTAATTTGATTATAATATAGACAGATAACAAAAATAGTGATATGAATCTTCTTCTTCATTCAGACAATTAAGAAAAAAAGCAGAATCGGACAAGAATTGTTCTTTGAGGTTGCTTTTTAGGTTACTACTATTGTTTCATTTTTGAAAGTGTAAAATATTCTCTTTTCTGTTACCAACGTTATGATAGGGTTTGATTTTTTGACAAGGATATAAATATAACCTCCCGCTAGGGCACTTGAGAGGGGAACGTTGGCTCAAGCGAAGGTCGGCTGCTCTGGCCGCCCTGCGCTTGATTACCGGTGAACGCCGACGCGGAGGCCTTCCCCTCTTGGTTCACTTTATTTATTTTTTTAGAGTTGATTTTATCGCAGCCGGAGAGGCGCCCCGCCGTTTCGCTGTCGCTGCCAGCTCGGGAGTGGAGAACGGCGTGGTAGCGCCTCTGCGCCGTAGTTTTTTTTCTGGGTTACTTTTTCTATAGGGTCGGGACCCGGGGCGCCGGGCCTGTTCTCAGGCACGGTGGACAGGATGCTGCCGGTGCTAGGGAGCGACGGGGCCGGGCTGCTCGTTTCGCAGAACTCGCCTCAGGGCAGTGCTGATCTCGGCAGACCGCCGCACTTGAAGAGGGAGATGGTAGTACCGCTTCTGGGTTTCCTCTGAATGTGACATCTGTGCCGCCAGATCGGCGGCGAGGGTCGGGTGCCTCTCGAGCATAGAGCACACGATGGACTTGCGTACGACCCGACCCGACCCGACTGTTAAACTTTTTCCCTAGGAAATTGCCGTAGCGGCTATTCAGCAGTGCACCCATCTCGGAAGGCGTGTAAAGGCAAGGCGGACCTGAACTTGATGAATAGCATGTCCTCACGGCTGTGCCTGGCCTGGGCCAGACAGGGCATGAACTGAAAATACCGCATGATCTCATCGTAGAATTTCTCCTCGGGCGGGAATTTAGCCGGCCCGGCATAGCCGGTCTTGTGCTTGTAGACTGAAACCACCCTCATTAATTCGCCATCGGCGCCCGTCGACGGCACTTCATCCAAAAATTCGCCTATGGCCATGTTACAGACGGCAAGGCTGCGCTGACCCGTGTTGAGCAAGATCTGGCCGAAGAGGTAGGCTAGTACCTGACAGTTTTCTACGGGGCACTCGTATCTGACCGAGTTGCACTTGTACGTACGTATGCTCTTTGCAACGGCATCCTGTCTACACATGCCGTGCACTGCCCGATAATGTCTCGCCAGTCGTACGACTGAAGCCTCACAGAGAGAGCACTGCCTAGCGGCCTCGTCATAATGAGAGACTGATGACCGACTGAAACTTCGGCCGGGCCCAGCCCGATACCCGTGCTGTGCGACACGCCAGCATCCCGTCAAATCTTTAAGAAGATTTAAGGGAGAGAATCTGGCCAAGGGGGGGAATAATTAGGGCAATGCCGCTAAAATCGCAACCCAGTGACGCTACACGAAGGTCGAAGGGCGCTTCGGACGGGGAAATATACTCCCCCTCTGCCCCGCGCGAAAAGAGACGGCTGACCGCGGCCGCGATCGGCTGGAAATTGCATGCAGGTCACACCCCCCACCCCAATCGGATATCTTAATGAGCCGAAACTTTTTAGGCCACTCGGTTCCCCGAGTACGATAATTTAATTTCTACCGAACATTGATCATTCGCCCGTCGAACACGCCCGGCGAAAACAGCGCTAGCCAGAGGTTCCCTGTCTGAGAGGAACGAAGGAAAGGCAGAGAATACAGCAGATCTGTTTGCCTAAGACAGGCAGAGCTGTTCACGTAATTTTCTCGTCTTTCATCGGGGCGCGGCTGCTTTGCCGCGAAGGCAGTGTGTCGATGTAGCCCGCTGGCAGCCTTTCCCTAACGAGCATTTTTTTTTGGGCCATTGAGCGCACGCCACACCCACACCTTTTGAACAGGATAAATCAAGGGCTAGGCGGGTCGAGATTTCCTCGGGCGAGCGGTCGTCTGGAATGGCTTGCTAGCGCGTTCTCCCCGCTCTTACCTGCCGGCCGAGCGCTGGTGACTGGGCGCTAACGGCTGGCGGAGGGCGGCCAAAGTTGTCTGAGCGCGGGTCCCTGGCCACGAGAGAGACGCCGGCTAAAAACTCCTCGAGTCAGCGCTCGCGTAGAAGCGCTGGCTAGCGCGCTGACGAGCTGTCCCCTGCTCGTCGCCAGGGCGCCGCTGCCTTGGCTACC